TTATTCAAACTAATTGACAATTTTCATCATAATTCATGATTATTTTCTCGTCTTGTGCTAACAATTAATAAATAGAGTAGAAAATATTTAGTTGCCGATACAGCCTTTGCCTACAAATTTGAATTTTGCTTAAGAGTAATAACTTTAAAACAGTATGAAATTTCGAAGAAATACTGAATGAATATATTTAAATGAACATTTCTGATGTACATTTAAAAAACCAAATATTTGTGCAATTTTTTTTTTTTTTTTTATTTCTGTTATTTTAACAATCAGATTACAATACAATCTATAAGTTAAAAGTTATGGTATTGAAAATCAAAATCAAAAAGAAAAAAAATAGAATAAAGGAAATTATTGCAATAAAAAAAGTTTAATTTGCAGGTATCTTGTGTCAGATGTCAGACTGGCTGATAAAGTTGGTATTGTTCGTGGGGTACCACAAGTTAAACCTCACTCCACTGATAATAAGGAGCAAATATTATTAACGGACAGGAAAACATAAACAAAAAATATCACTCATGAAATAGATGAAAATTGTTTAGCAACAAATAATTTGCTAGACAATGCTAAAAAATGTTCCATTTCATATAGGTGATAAACTATAACTATTTATATATATATATATATATATATATATATATATATATAAAATATATATAAATATACATACTCATTTTTCAAGAGAACCTTCTACATCTTTACTGCCACCTCCATACAGAGATCCACCTCCACCTACCAATCAATTGAAAGTACCAGTAAACCCAGATACATGTAATTCCCGAAAAGAAGTATGTATCTGTTTATAATATAATTAGTAATAAACCTAGGTGCTAATATAATTAGGAATGTGTGCATTATAACTGATTTATTTTTACATTGAGCAAAACAAAACTGTAAATAATTTTTTTAACATGTGCAAATGGGCAATTAGTTTCGTTTTAATAAAATAACTGAAATTTTAACCTTAATTTTTAGGTAGATCATTCTTCAATTCAATGTTTATCAGAGATAAATGAATCTTTATTATACAATATTCAATATGGTGATTTATTGGTACTTGTAAAATATCAAAAAGATAAATTAACAGCTCAGCATTCTGATTTAAACAAAGTAAGCAAATCAATTGACTTAAATACTTACAACTATATTAGTAAATTGTATTATTCAATATATATGTATATATATATAGATATCAATATATATATATTATATATTAATTTCATATCTACAGTATGATGAGGACATTGAATACATAGAAGTCAAAACTCGCGATCAACAAGAACAAATGGACCTGTTAACAAGAGAAATTCAGCAGGCGGATACAATTATTAGACAGGGCAGTGAACAGGTTATAAGCACATTATTAAACAATCTTAATACTTGAGAACGTTTTGTTAAATTAAGAATCATTTATATTTTGATATACAAATATGTTTTTTTTTTATTTAGCTTTATGTTTTGTCTTGTGTTGAAGAAGAAAATGAAATTATTAAACAGCAGGAGAAAACAGTGAGGTCAGAAATCACTCTTTTACGATCAAAAATCAAAATTAGCAAAGTGAAACGGAATTACTTCAATGCAAAAATAAAATCAGATTACTTCTTGATGAACTCCAAATTGAGCAAAAGGCATATCTTAGACGGTATGATAGCAGGTTTGTTTTAAGAGAAATATAATTTCATGTTTTATATATGCATACACTTTATATTTACATATATAGAGTGGAGCGGGCATTAAAGGTGCGCCACAGATATCTTGCTCGATGAACAAACAGAGTAATGAATTTTTTAACAACAATATTTTAAAGTAGAGAGGAAAAGATGTATATTAGCTTTCACTTTGATTCTTTCGATGTTGCTATCAGGAAATAAACGGCAATGTTTGAAATTCCATAACAAAAGTTTTCTTGTGAGAACTGTTGTCTTTTTACGAGACCTTAATATAATTTTAACTGTATGTTATTTAGTTGTTTTATATGTATTGTCAATTTTAAGTTGGGAGAGAAGAATATTTAAAAAAAAAAACACATTTCTACAACGATGAATTAGCCGCGAGTTTTACTAAATATAGACAGATAGTTGTTCGTTTGATATGTGTTATTTGTTGTGATATAATTGGTTTGGTTTTCACATTATAATTGCTTGAAGTCAAATTTCACTTGTGTGTGTGTGTGTGTATGCCCTATCCTATACATACATACATGCAAGAAGAGATTGTGAAATGCAGTATGAAGTACAAGTAAGCTTGTTACTAAGGAGAAATTTTATTTATCTCTTTTTTTGTTACTTTATGCAAAACTTTACTTACCGCAGAAATACGTTCAGTTCCACAGTTTTTAAATTTTTTTCTAAAATTATTTTTTTATGTCAAATTATTTTTGAATCTTTATCTCATGCAAAAAATATGTGTACATGTTTTTAGAAGTTCAATAAACATATTAATGTATATTTTTAGACATCAATTTGAGATGCGTCTAATGACGGAAATGGAGCATTTACAATTTGATATAGAACATGCTAAGGCAAGCACCGATGATGTAATACAAACTGCAGATGCTTTGAGAATGGAAGTGTTGGACTTGGAAAGTGCTATTATAGAAAAGAAAATGCATGTTGAAAGTCTTGTAAATGAGATGAAAGAAGTTAATTTACAGAGTCTTACTAATACTACAAATGCAGAAGAGATTAAATTTTACTTGAAGGTACACATCAATTATATAAGAAATAATTTACTTATTCTAAAACTAAAAGTAAAATTGTTTGATATAACAGGTTTTTTCACAAGATTTCATTATATGAAAAACAAATTATAAGAAATGTTAATTCTTAATTAATTTTGATTATATAAGTTTAAGATTACAGTATAAGCCGAATCAAATTATATTCTACAGTTTGCTAAATATGCAATAATATTTCCAGTAAGTTTTATAAGAAATATTATTTTTAAGGTACTCATAAACCTGGCAGTACAAGAAGAATGATTGGTTCGCCAAGGCAGCTTGAAAATGCTGTACCTACAAACAAAAATCCACATGGAGTTTGGGTGTGAGCTAAAAATTTATGCAAGTAATTATTCATTTCTTATATAAAAAACCTGTTTTCTCACAGCCATCTACAAATCTAAGATTTAAAACAACCATGATTGTCAGTATGATCTTTTTAGCTTACAATTAGTTCATTAGGCTATAGTATTTTAAATTATATTCTTTATTGTGGAAAAAAAGTATTATATTCTATTTTAGTGCTACCAGAATCATACTTTTGAAATGTTGAACAAGAAAGAGAACTTCATAATATCTATAGAAGTATTATTTGTACAAAATGAAAGAAATATCTATTTATATTATTTTTTATTTTCTATTGACAATGCTAAAATATTAATAGTTGTAAATATTTTTTGTTAAGGTTCTATTATATTTAGTTTGTCACTTTACCATCATATACATTACAAAAGTATAATACATTTTTGATATATATATAATTATTTAAATAAATTTTAATGTAACAAACATTGTTACTATATTGACATTTATTCTTGTTTTCAATTATCTTAATTTGATATTAATTTGAAGCGTAAGGTAAAAAAATTTTTAATTGAAACCACCGTTTTTTTGAAAACCATATTTCAGTTTAAAATTTAACGTTTAAAAAACGCATTAATATTTATAATTTTAATAGTTAATAATCAACTGTATTATACTATTAGAAAGCTACTGCATTCACGAGTAGCATCGGCAACGTATTTTCAAGAAATCGCACTTATCATTAATTTAATAACTTGTGATATATCTTCACTTTATTAATATACAGTTAATCTTCTATATATATAAAAATAAGTCGGGTTTTCCTTCCTGGCGAAATAACTCCAGAACGCATGAACCGATTTCGACAATTTTGCATTCGTTGGAAAGGTCTCGGGCTCCGCAAGGTTTATAGCTAAGAAAATTAGTGGTGCATGGCATCGTGCCCTAATGCAAATTGCTGGAACTTTACGTACCGTAATTAAAAATTCGAGTAATAAAATAATCATAATTATTTTAAATAATTTCAAATAGATTATCTTCCATATATATAAAAATAAGTCGGGTTTTCCTTCCTGACGAAATAACTCCAGAACGCATGAACCGATTTGGACAACTTTGCATTCGTTGGAAAGGTTTCGGGTTCCGCAAGGTTTATAAGCTAAGAAAATTAGTGGTGCATGGCATCGTGCCCTAATGCAAATTGCTGGAACTTCACGCACCGTAATTAAAAATTCAAGTAATGACATTAGTGAGAATTATCAGAATTATGCTTGGTTAAGTCAACGAGCAATTCTTGAATAATGATGTACACGCACTGAATTTCACCATTCAATAAAAAATTGCTGGCGATTTGGTGACATACCAATGATTCCGACTGGTCTTCCGTTTGACTTTAAACGATTGCAATTTCCAGTTCGCCTTGCGTTCGCAATGACAACTAACAAGTCGCAAGATCAATCGCTTAGTGTTTGCGGAATAAATTTCAAATAGATTATTTAGAAAATCATTGTTTTTCGCATGGGCAGTTATACGTTGCCTGTTCACGAGTTGGAAAACAATCCGCTTTGTTTGTGTTAACGTTAGACCAAAAAACAAAAAATGTGATTTACCAAAGAGCACTTCAATGAAACGGTTAATTTGCGGATTCACTTTCATTTACTTAGAGAAGTTCAACTAAAAAATACTTCATTTTTGTAATCGAAATAAATTCATTACTGTTGTGCAATAAAATCAATTTTTTCATATTCAAATATAAAACAAACAAAAAAATTCTTCATCTGGTGGCGAAACGGAGTTCGTCGGGTTTGCTAGTCCCTTTATAATCGTTATATATATTTCAAAAAATTACTGCCTTAATCGGATTAAAACTACAGTGTTTACAGGCATGTCCCTAGAACTCTGCAAACATACATACACACCAGCGCTCTGGTGAATCCGCGCCCTACAAGTACCGCGCGCTATATTTTATAAAAAAAATTATATAACAGAAATATTTGATCATAGATGAAAAGGTAGAAACAAATGATTCGCTCGTTACTACGATATTCATTCTAGGTATATTGGAATAATGCAAATTAATGAAAAAAGTCGTGTACTTTCTTACGAAAGAGTAGTCACTTCAAACTCAATTATTAGTGTTAAAAATTATATACCGTAATTACGTTACAGTATTATGTAGTCATTACCAAACTTATTAACACCAGAAACACCGCCGAATGTGAGCACAGTTGGAAATGAAAGACAAAAATATTTTAGGTCTACTTCTCGAAATTGCGGAATACTCGCGGAATTACGTTCACTGGCTCAGTTATGTGAACATAATTACGGAAGTCATGAAATTGACAATTTCTTGACAAATATATGCTAGATTTAATTATGAAACTAATCATTTATCAATACTGATCAATAATTTCACAAAATTGAATCGATTAAGCTTACCGACATCGAATAAAAACCTTAAGCAAACGAACCGTCACATGAACCTAACTAGCTAACAAGCAAGTACAGAATGGCGATTATTATTTTCCGACCGTTTTCTTATCTTGCGATCAAAATGGAAAAATCTCGGGATAATGTACTATCCCGGAATAGTGTACGTTTAACCCATTTTATACTCTCCTTTTATCTATGGTTTAACCTTACATCTAAATATTCCAAGAAATTTGTTTGAATATTATTTTTATTTACAAAATTTGCTTACATACCGTTCAATATAAATGATGACATAATACTATTTTAAATAACCATACTGAGATTTAATATTCATTATAACAGATTTTATGATAAAATATGATTCATGTTTAACTTGTTTATTGATAGAATTGGAAATGATGATCTTCAATGTTGATATAATATTCACGTAGCATTTACACTCATGTTTGAAGTACTCTTGTCAGTTTCTTTAATAGATGTAATTTCCATATATATTTTCCAAGGAATCAAGTTGAATTTTCTTGCTTGTTTTAAATAAATGGATTTATAATACATTCACACTTATATATATATATATATATATATATATATATTTATAAATTGAGTTATTTTGATTCGGGCAGTAACACCAAGTAAAAAAAAACTAAAGCACTTGTAAAAAAGCTTTATTTAACCATACGTTTCGGTCTTCGTCGAGACCGTCATTCAGCGGAACAACTAAAAGATTTTATAAATAATGTAGGAGGAAAATGATTTAAAGTAAATAGTCAATATAAAACAATACTAACAGATCACATTAATGAGCTCAAACATAACATAGATTTTTTCAATCTCACGATCCTACATTTCGAAAATAACTTACTTAAAAGATGATTTAGCGAAGGATGCCTAATATTATTACACAATGAGACTGCCATAAATAAGAGAACAGACAACAATTCGCTTTGCAATGACTATAAAATAATCCATTTTTCAAAACACCACCATATCTGAATGAAGCGTGTATTTTATTATTTTGTTATTTTACCAAAAACATATGTTTACCAGTCTTTTTACACTTTCACAAACAAAAATTGTAAACACAATTAATTCAGTTTTTAAATCATATTTTATTATTTTAAAATCAGAACGGAAATTTGTAGTTATCGGGTTGGCAACAAAGTGCGCATTGTTGTTAGAAAATTAAAGATTTTGGGTGGAATTAAATAGCATTGTTCTGTAATGTATTTACCATTTTGATAGATGACCTTTTGTTATCTTCAAAGAAGCATCATTATCCCACGTTTGTAAAACTTATAGTTTTTATTAGCAAAAACTGAATTATAGGCACAATTTGACATCATTTTTTTTTTTAATTCAAGGGTTTTAAATAGTGGTGTATGGCATCGTGCCTTAAGGCAAATGGCTGGAACTTTGCGTACCAAAAACTAATTTTTTTAGAAAAGATTTTTTTTTAATATTTGAAAAAAATAGATTTTTGAGAAATTTTAAATTTTTGAAAAAAAAAGACTTTTTGGAAAAAAAAACTGTTGAAAAAAATGGTTTATTTTATTTTGAAATATTTTGGAAATTTTAAACTTTTTTTCGAAGAAATCGCACTGCTTTAGCTGCATAGAGACGAATTATCAAACCGGGACACCTTAATTAGATCTAAGAAGTATTTTTTGTTAAATGTTTTACTGATACTATACTACATTACATTCAAATCACCAATATTTCCATATTGCCCCCCGGTGGGGCGTGCGCCCCACGTTGGGAATCACTGCACTAGAATGTAACAAAAAATTGTCAAAAATCATTAGTTCATATTATTTTTCTCCTACATTATTTATAAAATCTTTTAGTTGTTCCACTGAATAACGGTCTCGACGAAGACCGAAACCTATGGTTAAATAAAGCGTTTTACAACTGCTTTAGTTTTTTTTACTTGGTGTTACTGCCCGAATCAAAATAACTCATCAAAATATATATCAACATCAAATTCACATACTTCAATATAAATAAATATTATAAATATATAATAACGGCGAAATAACCCACCTGTATCACGTTTTGCCTGGCCCTGCGCCGCCTATAACCACCTAGCCGAATAACCTATTTTTGTCTTGTCGTTTGACGTCTGACCATGAGAATGTGGACATGTTTGCAAACATTTTTCATTTGGTAATACTATTAATATTACATAAAAATTATTTAATTAGCAATATTTTTTTTAAATTTTGCATTAAGAAAGGTCGGTTGTCCGA